GCATTTTGTTCTTCACCTAACATAAAAATATAGCTTTAAATATTTAATGACTTATATTTAAATCATCTTACCTTATAAAAAACTTAGTCAAATAAAACAATTACAGAAATATTAAAATAAATCACTTCGTTAATCACAAAATTGGACGAATATTAAAAGCGAAAACTAAACACGTGCACACCCTGCTCTATGTAAACAGAGAGGTCAGGACACGTGCTGACGTCACTAACTTGCAATTCCTGGCTAACATTGTAGAATAGGGATCTGGCTATCCTTGTAGTATACAGTCCTTGGCTGCCTGCAAACTGTAAGCGTCTTTTTCGGTGCCCGCTAAGCCAGCGAACAAGATAGCAGTCACCAAGAAACTCGTAAGAGCTCTATTTTGTGTTGACAATTTTGAATTTAATTTATTTTGTGATGAATGTACACTGAATAAATTAAGATCAGGTTAGTAATTAATAGAATATTTTAATACACCAGTATATTTACGTAAAACATCAGATAAATGTTTTACTTGTTAAAATCTCAATGATTAATCTTAGAATTGATTTCGTTATGTATAACTCCTAAGGAAATTTTTAAAAAATTTCATTTCTCTTTCTCTTTTAGAAATATTCATTTTTCATTAAGCTGTTCTAATTAAATAACTTCAAAAACAAATTTAACGTAATATGGAAATCCATATTATTCGCCATTTTTTTGTGTTTTTCCCGTAATCTGGCAATCAGTATGCTATCTCGAAAACTTCAACAATTGTGTCACTTCCGGCAGCATTCCACTGGATTGATGCTGAGATTTCGACCACGATCATAGTGTTGCTTACAAGTCGAGGGATGCTTCAATTGTATAATATGCAGTTAGTGTTTTTAAAAAATGTCTGCCCTGTTAGTATCAAGAAGGCCTTTGTTTTTTAACAAGCCCATTATCGGCCAGATCCACTGTGGGACGGCCGGATGTTGATAGACTCGACATATCCGGGCGGAGCAGCCCCGAAAAATTCCTGGGTTTTTGACCTGTCCATATTCGATCCCATTCCCTAAAGCAGTAGGCTGCCGTCCAAATATTCAGTTATTTTAAAAGTTTCTAGTTTAGCGGATTTTTAAAGCACTAAATAAAAATCGATTATCTTTAGACCCTCTCAAAATACAACAAATCTCGAATTTTAAAGAAAAAATAATAATAATAAATAAAAATAACTTTTTGTAAAAGCGCTTTTTGATATATNACATTTTCATGATATGATCTCAGTTTCGAAATGGATTAATTTCGTATCCTGAGGTACCATTGTATATGGAATTCACATATAATAGAGCATTGATAAATGTTCTTTTTTAAAAGTGTCATTTTCAAATGATATTTCTGCTATAGCTTCAATGCTAACTTTCTTACTTGGTGACAGTTCCTTGGCCTTTGTTTTTATTATGAAATAATTTTTAAATATTGCTCTTTTGTAAGATCTTTTAGCAATGGTCACATCACATCTGTATATAATATTTCAGATAGTAACAATTTCATATGTTTTATTTTTGTAAATATTGTTTAATAACCAAAGTTTGAATTAAAATTTTATTTTAGTTTGGTTTCTTTATTTCTACTATGGTAATAAAATGTGATGAACAGGGATGGAAAAAGCTTGGGGTCTTCTATGTGACACTATCCCTTGATGAAATGCATAACTTTTTACTATAATTCTGAAAATGAATACTTTGTAATACTCTGTAGCTCCGTGCAAGAGATGTACTGTGTACTAATAGTTTCATGATGGAGAAAGGAGAGATCATTATTGGGTAGGATGTTTATTGCCCACGGATAATCCAAGGTGCCTGCCAGAGAAATAGAAGCGGTCGGTAGACATGCCGGGCGGTTTCGTACTGTATAAGGCTCCTGTGCTAAAATAAATTCATAATTGTTCATAATTATTTCATGAATACATAATTAATGGAAATATCATTATATTCAAATATAGAATAATAGAGGAGTAAAATAATTAGTTGTTTTTTCTATTTCAGAGAGAAACTCCAAAATTTTGTAAATACTGTTCAAGTGAAAATAATAAGAGGAGACTGAGACTATATCAGATAAATTTTGAAGAAGCTATTTATTTATGTACAAATAAGCAGGTAATATTATTATTATTATTATTATTATTATTATTATAAAATGTTAAAAACTGTCATAAAAATTGATTGATTCATTTATTCACCAACAAGTTATTACAATTGAAAAGAAATTTAGGAAATTGCAAGAGAGAGTTTCTAATTAATTAGTTATGATTTGACAGGTAGTATATGATTGACATCTGAATTTAAGGGCTAAAAGCAAGAATGGAGTTAAAGTTTCACATTCTTAAACTACTTCATTCTATTATTAAATTAAATTTTATGAAGAATTTATCTTATTTTAGGAAATTACTTTTTTTTAAATGTTTCAAAGGAACATAGAAACATTAGAAGTATATAAACAACATAATGAATATGTTGTTACAAGTTAAAAAGGATGGTTTCTTAAAACACAACAAAGTGTATTGAAAGATTTAGAAAAACAAAACTAAATAAATTTGTTGCAAAAGAAAACAAAAATTTAAATGTCAAAACCAAGAAAGATAAAGTTGAACAGTAACAAAAGCATGAATGTTGCAGAACTCTTTAGTAAATTCTGCAACAGAATTGTGCTATTACTGTTACTTGTATGTATGTGTGTGTATATATATATATACAATACATATACATATATATAAATGAATACATAGCAAGTGATAGTAAATACCCCTATTCAGTGCTGTCTAAAGAGATATTTAGCAGTCTGAATGCAACCAACCAAATCTGTTACAAGTATTGTGCTATTTCTGGACATGCAGAAAGCATGCTCATGCTATACAGCAACCTTAGCAGTGGATACTGCTCAATGTTGTGTTCAATGGATGAACAATTTGTTCAATGGTTAATTGAAATTGATCCTTGATGCTTCACTTGTAGGCATAGTATAGTAGTGTCTTTCAAGGCTGCCAAATTCGCAACATGTCCTTGGTAAATCATACTTTTTAAGTATTCCTACAATCAAAAATCACACTGGTTAAGATTTGGAGGACAAGGTGGTCAACTGATAGGAAATTGTTAGAAAAATTTGTGTGTGTATATGCAACAGATATACACATCACAGCTGCACAGTGTTTAAAATAGTGATGACAAACCTATATCCCACATGACAATTTCAAAGCATTATGTTTTATAAATTATATATAAATTAAAAAATATTTGACATATTTCAAAACTTTGCAAATATGATGTGAAAGCAAGATACTGTAATGAAAGTCTTAAAAGCTACAAATTATGTACAGTACCTCAGATAGAATAACAATCAACAAATAATCACATTATTATCGTCATTATACTTATATAGAGTTTGTGTTCATTTCTGATATAGATTAAAATGTTAAATAAAGTAAAATTTGTATACATTTATTTTATTCTTTTACAATTGTTCAAATTAAATAGTTGATATGTGATTTAGAGTTAATAAATTTCAAATTCATTTTGATATACTAGAGAAAATTTACTGTCACTTGTCTAGATCATAACTAATTTTATATGACAAAGAAATTTAATTAACTTTTAACTATATGAGAAACAAAAATATAAATGGGATACCAGACAGGGGAATTAAAAAGAAAAACATACAAGTAGAATGAAAGTATGTAGGGACACTTGGGCAATCTCGACACTCCTAAAAACAAGTTGTAATAATGACGTCTCTAATGAGTTGTAAAGTTATTTGGGATATTTGGTTGTGTGAAACTTCATTCCAGATCATAATATATCATCATTCAAATATATTCATAATAGCAAAATGCTGTTTCTAAGTCAGTGATTCCCAAACTTTTTCGATCCACTGCCCCCTTTATTCCATAAAGTTATACCCAACGCCCCCTAACCCATTTTCTATTGTGTGAGAAAGAATTGGAAATATTCTTAGGAAAGCTTTTCTATGATTCTCACACTTTGTGCCCTTACTGTACATTGTTCTCAACATCTGGAAACCATTAAACACAATGTTTCCTCTTATCAGTTTAACAGAGGAAAGGGAACGGTTTTCAGTGACCCCAATTTTGCCTTTGGTCATCGTTCAATACCCTGCCTCCAGCGCCTCTAGATTTACTCATCGCCCACAAGGGTGCGTTATTGCCCACTTTGAGAAACACTGTTATAAGTGATTCTAAAAGAATACAGTTTAAACCAATACTCTATCTCTGACTGTAACTAGAAGCTATTAGCTATGCTAGAATCTGGTAATTATAGTTACAGCTTGCAAGATGTGAACAAAATTTTTCAAAAGAGCAAAAGGACACAGTTCTGAAGTTTTTTTCATTATTAACCAGAACAGCTAAAGATGTGTTATCTTCTTGTTCTGTATTTACTGTGAAAATGCTGACTTTTTTATCTGACACTAGATGTCTCTGATTGTTTATCTGGATTGATTCACAACAATTATGTACATTTGAAGGCTTTTGGTATGTTGCACTTTAGGCTTTGCTATTCCTACAGTATAGTGATTTGAGATGATGAAGAGAATCTGTTTGAGATAGATGGAAGAAGTTCAGTAGTTTCTTGAGAGACTTATTTCCTCACAGTGAAGACTAAGATGGGCTTTTTTTGTCATTCTTTATACATAAAAGTGACATCATATTAATTTACTTGAAGTTTTAAAAAGTCATAAAATTATTACTTATAATTTTAACATTTTTATGAAATGCAATACTACATCAATATTATTATGTAAATTTACTAATAAAACTGACATTTGTTGAAGTTTACCACTTAATTCCAGAAAATTTAATAAAATGACTTAAGTTTAAAGTAATGGCATAAATGTCAAGTAAGATGAGCAACTAAATATAGCTATAAACAAATAATTTTCATGTTATCAGAAACTTGAATCATAGCTTATAACTCAAACTGAAATTATAGATGTATGATTCTAATAATTAAGGTCCATATAGGATGCACTAAAATATCTGAAATATGCACTAATAAAAGTACAAACATGCAACGAAATTACTTACTTTCATAAAAAATTATTGGATTTGACTAATACAGTAAACATTTTTGCATATTTAGTTTGGTTCCCAACATTTTCTCACTTGAAGTAATTGGAGTAATTGACAAAAACAATTAAATTAGAAAATTCAAAGCTATGGCAGTTGTTCTGTAGAAAACTTATAAAGGGAAAAATTCATTTTCAGATTACAGGAAGGACTGGGGAAATTTCAGTAGTGTCATATCTGTTTCAATATCTATATCTGATTTCACAGTCAATACATTTGAAATATTTTGTATAGTTTGGCATCCTGGATTTCTTTGAAGTATTTCTGATAGCTTGTATTTTGTTATTTTGGCTATTGGACTCTGTGACTTACTACTTTTACAGAAACTTGGAATATTCATTTATTTATTAGTATTAGAACCATTGACCATTAGAGCTGTTTAAATAAATTTTTCTGTGATCCCAAAATGAAGTTTTGTTGTTAATTCTGTACCATTGGCAAACAGTCATTTTACAGATTCCAAAAAACAAGGCAGAAAAAATTAACAACAAACACATACATTATGTACTATACCTTTTAATAGTTAACTTTATGTTTTTTAACTTTACATATGGTAATGTTCTAAGAGAACATTACCATATGTAATTACAGTACAGTACTACCTCTCAAACAACATCTCAGATAAAAACATTGACTTACATAAAAAGAAAAGAATATAATACAGTTAAATATATTTTAAGGTTACTTAGAAGTATTTTACAATTTTATTTACACTAAATATAGTTTTTTAGTTTCCAAGTAAAACTTCATATTTTTTTGTTTTTAATCTCAGGGTATGATCTATTCCAGAGTGTAATCAATTTATGAAAAACTGATTTTTTGCTTATTAACATTTGGTATTTTTGTTTTTTGGATTTCTACATTTGTATTTGATGTACAGTACCTAGAGAGATTACAACACTTTTCAGAAAAAAGAATTTGATTTTTTTGTGTGTAATTATGTTTGAAATAAAATTGAATTAAATTTTTTGTATACATTACTTCTATTGTATCAGTCTTTTCAGTTCTGTAATAAATTTTATAGAATTTTTATAACTTTTATTCAAAATAATTCTCAAAAAATTATTTTTTTAAAAAATCCAAAATTGGCATCTGTTTTCTTTGCAATCAGACACACGAAGTTTTACTTTCAAGTCTATAAATATGTTTGCAGAGGGTGGATTGTTTCATTTGACAATCTATTTTGTGTTGTAATTAGTCAACTTGATTTTTGAACCTAATTTAAACTTATCCTTAATATTTTTAACATTATTATTAACACTCTATATGAAATCAGTTGTTAATTTAAGTACATTTGGGATAAATACTCCATAACAATATAGTAAATTAAAAAAATTATATAAAATCTAAATTATAAACTAATCTTTATAACACACTTCTTTATTTTATTAATTTAAATAAAAATAAGACAAATTTTTGTCTTAATATAGTATAAATATTGGTTTTTTGTAGAATTTATTTTAGAAAAATATTTTACTGCAAAGTTTTAGATCATTCCTTGCTATTCTAGAGTGGTTATTGTATCAACAAGGAAATGAAAGCTGTATCTAATGTATACAAGATCATTTTGTACTGAGCTTCTGCTAAGCAGTTTTTGAAAATGCTTAATTGCATCAATAATGTTAGGTACAAAGGTATTTATATTTATTTCATTGAAATTGTCTTGTGTTCATACTGAAATACTGCCTACAGTCATGTCCTCCAATGTATGACAATAGGTTAAGCATGTGAAAGATTTCATGCCTGAAGATGGTCTGTTAAGCTGAATTAATCAATACATCTTTAAAATAGTGACTAATGTTTAAAGAACACTAATGGTTTTGGCCTGGTTAATAGACCTTTATGACAGTTGAAAGTGGAATTGACATTTTCAACTCTTCATGTCTAAAAATGGCTTGTAACCAGGTCAAAAATGTTAGCATTCTTTAAACTTTACCCACTATTTTAACATTGCATTGATTAATTTGGCTAAGTAATGACAGTTGCTAGTTCATTCTTAAGATGGTCTGTTAACAAAATCTAGATTAGTATTTTTCTAGCCTTACTTATTGTTAAAGGTGTATTGCTTGCTTTATTAAATTAACTACACTGACTATTTGATTTAAAATGCAATTAATTTTCTTTTAAGATTTTGATATTTTGAAATCAAAATTTTATTTATAAGATATACCCATTTGTTTCATTTTAAAGGTTAATTTTAATATGAGAAGCCTGTTTATAAATTTATTCAATTTTGGAAATATGAATTATTTTTGCCATATTTTAATACAAATTTAATACAAGATGGTTTTTTCTCATTTTCAGAGAAATTTTGTGTAAGATATGTTTGGCTAAATATTATATAATTGTAAGAACGATAATAAATATCAAATAACAAAAATATTAGCTGAAATAAGTGAATATAAATTTGTATAATTGTAATTTAAGAACTATCCATTAATTACATGTACAATCTATGGGAGGGAGAGGGTTGTGAAAAGTACATAATTGTACACAAATGGGTAGGGAGGGGTTGAGATGGACTTCTTGTAATGGTATTAGTTACATACAGTTTGTTGTTATAAACCTACTTACTAATCATCTGAATAAACTATCCTTAGAAAATATTTACAGAACTTTTTAAAGTCAGTCTTTCAATAACAGGTAGGTCAGTAAACTATTGGACTGTATTGTACAGTACATGAAATGAAAGGGGGGAAGATTTGCCAAAAGTGCCCCATTGTGCACACAGGGAGAGAGAGAGAGGGGCAAAAGTGGCTCAAAAAATATACTTGTAATTAATAGATAGCCTATTAATATTTTTTATTTAAAGAAAATTTCTATATTATGTACTGTACATCACTTGTAAACAAATATCTAGTTAGTCTAATATCTATTATTTTAGACAAATATGGGCTGTTTTGAAAAAATGTTCACATTTATATGAGACTGTCATTTTTAATGGAAACAATGGATATACTCTAACATGATGATAAATGTTTTTTCACAGTTTTAAAGTCAAAGGGTCATTTTCAGAAACAAGATTTAGTCAAAATCTATAACTTCAAAGTTATATCATCTGTCAATTTATCAGTTCCTGTAGACCAGTGATTCTCAACCATTGTGCTGTGAGATTTTTGAAGTGTGCTGCCATTGCAAATACCTAACATAAGCAATGTCAGACAAGTACAGTAGAACCCTTCTAGTCCGCCCTCGGCTAGTCCGTCACTCCGGTTAATCCGACCGTGGTCGGAGTCGAGAAACTTGTCCTGACTCGTCGGTGACTCACTGTCCGTGGCGTTTTTCTGTGTTCGTTACAGTATGTGTTTTACATTGTGTGTACATGTACAGTTTTGTGTGTGTTTTCAATTTGTCAGGAGTGAAACGTAAACACGTTACTCTTTCATTAAATGAAAAATTAGCAGTGCTACAAAGACTGGACAAAGGGAAAGATTGTTTATTTTACTTTTTTCTGATAATCCGACCTTTTTTGCGTTCCGACCATACCCCCAGTCCCAAAGGTGACGGATTAGAGGGGTTCTACTGTAGTTAAATTAGTTCTACCTTCCTAGGACGCGTTTGGAAATTGTAAACGGTGTTACCAGTAACTGTTGGTAGTTACCAAGGCATTTAGAAAACGTGACCTAAATAACCAACTGTGTTTAAAAATCACTTATGACATAACCGGTTGTCCTGCGGTACTTACCGAAGTAACCGTGTGTGCTACCAAGTTTTTAAATTATTAAAAGTGTATTATGATGATAAAAAGGTTGAGAATCACTGCTGTAGACGATTGATTATTGTTAACAATTATTGTCTATTTTCTCTTCCATTGAAGTGGCATAATAAGGCAACAGACTATCAGTACATCCAATTTATTAATTGCCAAGACTTGTTTTGGCTATAAACTTCTTTTTTGTTGGATAAAAATACAATTGTAAATACTACAATATCATTAAAAATGTTCTTAAAATTTTTTACAGCATATGTTGATGTACATTCTTTCCTCCTTTTTTAAAATCACATTAAAATTAATCTTTACAATCTCATATAAATATTAATTATTAAGTTAACTATTTTAACAACAGTTTTTACATTTAATACTAGAATTTGTTTTTTACCTTTATAAGCAGTTTAGTAAAATTTAACAAACACAACTATTACATTGCATTGAATCAACATTTATACACTACAAATTATAAGAAAAAAATTGTTGTCTATATCAAAAGCTTGGCTTGAACATAGGCTGTACTTTACATATCGTTTTACCTAAATCTAGATCTTGTTTCTGAAATTGGCCTGAAGAGTCTTATTTTTATTCTTGTCAATATGTTCATGATATGTTTTTGAATGGTCTTCAGAACTGGTGGCATATTACTTCTATTTACCATATTCATGGCTGAATTGGCAAACTCATAAAATGTGATAATTAATGTTGAAATTTGGAAATTCTCTTGATGTTTGCTGTAAATCACCATAGAGTTCAGTCCATGCAGCAATAATGTCTTGCAACTTCAGTCACTTGCAAATAAAAGAAAAATATATGTCTATAATAACCATAAGTAATCACAACAGAAATCTTTTATCAGTCTATAATGTTAACAATTTTTTGAAACACCCAACATATATAAAAAATTTATATATATATATGTATATTCATTGTTCCAGTGTACGTATCCATTGAAAGATGAAAACGTGATGGATTTCATAGTGAAACGCAACAATGCTGAAATAACTTTAGTGAACAAAGTGATGAAGTCACCAAAGAAAAAATCTGCAAAGAAAAATAAAATATTATCATCCGAAAATTCATTGTCTTCCAGTCTATCTGACAGCAATAAAATGAACAATTTGAATGAAAGTTTATCATCTTTAGATGACAATTTTAGTGATTTGAGTTTTAATTTAAATTTATTTAACAACTCAGCAAATGCTTTAAATTTTGAAGATAATCAAGATTTGTCTTTAGGAAGAACAAATAATACACCCGAAGCAAAATTTGATGATTGTATTAACAACATAGAAAGTATTTGGAATGGTATTTTTCATGAGGATTCAGTTTCTCCATTAGACAATGGTAATGTGCCAAATCAAACGGAACAAAATACGACGAGAAAGGAAGAGACGTTCATAACTTTTGACGATTTAATAAGTGATTGTGAAATTACATACGACGACTATGTATCGAGGCCTAGCAATTGACCAAATAACCAAACATGGCTGGATTTCTTCCAGGCTATTTTCAGGATAGAAATTAATTTATTAAGTAGTTTAGAAGAAATCCTGCAATGTTTGGTTACTTAATTTAGTTCAATTGAATTTTATCAGTTTGACCCTTAAATTGGGTTGTTTATTCTGTAAATATTCACGAAATCATTAAAATGTGCTTTTTATCTGTGTTTTTATTTATAAAGTTTTGCATATAGCCAATTGCAATAAATGTACAGTACATTCTTCCTTTATGACTCCTCTCATTATAATCTTCATTTTTATTACTAACAAACCATTTCATACAATTGTAATTTTAAATTACAGTATCTTAGTTTCTCTTCAAATTAGATCTATTCATCCAATTATCATTACTTTTCATTATGCATGTATAATCTTTTTCTATTATACTGTATTATAATGAGAAATTACTTAATAAAATAATTAAAATGTAAACAATTTTTTTTTCTAAATTTTATCAAATTTAAATGAATTTTACTCAAATTAAGACAAAAGCTATCTTCTTACTCAGGTGCACATCTGTTATTTCTACAGAAAATTCCTTTTTTTTTTTTTAAATTAAGCGTTTACTGTACTTGTAAATACAGAAAATTCTAGTAGTAATTGTATCGAAAATATAAATTACATAATGGTTAACTGGAATGAGGGCATGCAACACGGGCGATCTGTCAATGGAGGACTCTGAGAAACTACAATATTTTCAGAAAGTCGAACCTCCGATAACGGTCATTTCTAAATGGCAGTCTTTTTTTCTGGGAATGTTCCTTAAGTGCTTATAAGTTACAAATCCAGGCAATGGCCAGTTTTTGTTTCCATCATTGGCCGTTATTCGGAAGTTTAAGGATATTACTCAAATTCAAGTTCTGATGCTCTCTCCTTTATTTTCAGGAAGTCTGCCTCAGTATGCAAAAAGAAGAAAAATAAAAATCGAAACAACACAATTCGGTTTTCACTTATTAATGAAGATTGCCTTTACTTTCAAATTTTTGCTGTAAATTTTTTTGTCATATACATTCCATTAAATTTACTTTTGAATTCTTTAATGCTATTAACAGTATAAAGAATTAAAAAGTATCGTAGATCTGATTGTTTTTGGTGAATTCCGGACGGTTGAGCGGTTAAGGTGATAGTCTACCGCTCCGAGGGACCAGAATCAAAAAAACAACAGGACCGTGTTCAGTAACGCAGAATTCTGACTTAGGCCATGCCACGATATTGGAAGATATTCTTAGTAACTAGAAATTCCCGTCAAGTGTGACAAGTACTTTTTATGAGAAAGTAGAGATTGAAGAATTGAGAAGAGTAGAGATTTCAAGAAGAGTAGTTAATGTTTCTACAAATTAAGGCCCTTGACAAATCATTCTTACTCGATGTTGCTCAAGTGAAACGTCTAGACCAATGATTTTCAACTGGTGTGCCGCAAAAATTTTTGAAGGTTATTAAATAAATTACTTTCGAACAGTGGCGTGCCGTGACATTTGATGATAGGGAAGCTGTGTTTCTGTAAGAAGCCGACATCCAGGGCAATTAGTCAATTGCGTGTCAGTGATGGTCTAGGGTCCATTTGTATCATTTATTTGATAAGCCAGTAAAAACCGTAGACCTCTCTAAATGCATTTTTAATATCACAATTACATTCCGAATCGATAACCAGATATAAGGGCTACAATTAAAAATAAAATTATAATACCTTATAAAAACTTACTTGGTGAAATAAAATGTGTGGTGGATATACATTACTGGTACAAAATATTCTTCAATTGTGGAATATACTTTTAAAGAAAATTATAATTAAATATAGTTTTGTGAAGAAACGTACATAAAAATATAAAATATTCTTTACTTTTTAAATCTTAAAACAAAAGAGTACTAGTTATTAGTGTAACAGCTGCGCCAGTATCTATCATTAATCATATCTTTTTGTTTTCGATTTCATAAATCATCGTGCACAGGGTAAATCTTTACCTTTTGATTCACTAATTCCCGCTAATTGTGTTTGAACTGGACCTTCCGACAGTCGTTCTATCTCGCAATTTTGTTCCCTAAAATTTACTGAAGTAACTCTTATCTATTTCTCGCGTTTGATTATTCTCTGTTGGTTTATTTTCTGGGGCAGGCAAAGCTAACAATCTATGAGGGGCTACGTTGTTTGGTGGTTCTCTATGCCGGAGCTGTTTCCAAACCAACCCTGTCCATAATGCGGGGAATAAAGAGGTAAAAGTTCACTTTGTCTGGCATTTCCGTATTCAACAGGCCTAAATTGCATTGGGAAAAAAGGTGTAGGTCGAAATTGGTGGTTCTGAATGGGGTATAATGGATTCCCTGCAAGATCCAACCATTCTGGGGAGTTTCTGGGTGTTCTCCATCCCTGATATGGTGGAGTGACAGTTCTTCCGAACCATTCAGGTGGCGATGGCACGTACCTTCTGCTTTCGCATGAATGTAAGTTGGGCATGCAAAATGTTGGCATTCTCCCTCCATTTCCCCTCCACGGGAAATTTGGATTTTGTTTTTGATATGAGGTATAAAAGCAGTTATGGCAAGGATATCGTGTGCGAGGTTGTTCTTGTATAAAAGTAGATGGTGGTTGTGGAGAAAATTGTTGCGGCGAGTTTCGCTGTGAGCTCTGGGGAAACCGCTGATTTCATATCCCGTTGTTTGTTCTGTTAGTTTCTTGGGTTTGATTTGTTTGTGATGGTTCCTCTCTTTGGGAGTTGTTTATTTGTCTGGGCATTGGTTGTGAATCTAATCTCTTTCCTATCAATTCTAATTGTTTAGAAAGTTGGGTTATTTTTGTGTCTAGGGCCGTTTCTCTAAGTGTGTTCGTCTCTTCCGCCTGTGTGTTGTGATTCTCTGTTGTATTGTTGACGCTAGTGATTAAACTCCGTGTTTTTCCCACTAGCTGATCTATCGTTTCCTCGCGGATTGCTATTTTCAGTGCTTCTGCGAAAGTCGGTGGATCCTGAGTCATCACCTGTCGCTTCAGCTTATTGGTCAGACCATGTAGAAATTGGAGTCACAACTTTTTGTCCAATTTCTGCTGTTGACAGCATTTGATGATTGCTTTTTCTTGTTCGTTTGCGCCTGTATGCTCTATCATTGTAGTGCTAGCAAGGTTTTGCAATCTGACCGCGAATTCTTGTGCCCTTTCGTCTCTTCTCTGCATGCACACGTGAAATTTCTGCACCTTAATCAAGTAAGGCTCTTGGTCAAATCGAGTGATCATCAAGCGTTTGAATTGCTTAAAGTCTGTCACACTTTTCATATTTAAATCTCTCCATGCGAAGTCCCTAGCTATACCTGTGAGCTTGCACTTCGCAATACTCAAGCATTGTCTAGGCATCCATCCCGCTAGACTCGCAATCTCTTCCAGCATGTTGAAAAAGTCCTCGACATGTCCCACTTCTCCTGAAAACGTTGGGATCATACCTCCAAAGGTGGAGATGGATGGAAGAGTTCCACTCCCGTCACAAGGTTGCGCCACATTTGCCTCTGCCTTCATTTTTCTCACCCACGTATTTTTTTGGGCAAAAATGCCTTTGTTGGCGTACTTACAAAATTCTTGGAATTTAAAATATCCTGACACCACTGTAAGAATGCCGATTGGGGGAGATTTTATTCCCTACCGTCGGGATGGTCAAAGGCAGGGGTGTGCAACCTTTTTGTTTCTCTGGGCCACATTGGAAGAAGTCAAGGAGTTTTGGGCCACAAGTACATATAATATATACTTGTGGCCCAATATAGAAGTATATTTAAGGATTAACATGTCTAGATTATAATAATAAGTATTAAATCTTTATCATAAAAAAGATATTTTAAAAAATTACTTTTACAGACACTTTCAATTTTTACTTAGAAATAGATAAATTCATTTATTATAAAAGAGACAAATCAAAATTTATTTGAAAAACACAAATATTTGCTTTATTTGGGTCTCTAATTAATAAAAAGCGACGAAACACCATTTTAAACTGCATTTTCATTCAACTAATACAGTATATTTATAAATAAAATATAACCCAAGAAGTAGCCACATTTGGCCCAATGTAGCCAAATCTTGTAACGTTGGAAGAAATACTATTACTAAATAAAGCTGGAGTTGTGACTCAGGATTATAGACCCAAATGCAGGGAAAGGAGAAAAGATAAAGAAGTGGAAAATTAAGGGTCAATATTTGCATAACAGAAGATCTATTTAATTTTTCTCACTACTTTTTATATTTTGTCTTTTCTCATCTTTCTGTCCTTTTCCCAAATTTGGGTCTATAATTCTTTGAGTCACAACTCCAGCTTTATTTAGTAATCCTTCCTCATTCACACATCTCCAAGTATTTGAAAATATTTCTTTTTCACTCAAAAATAAAATATGAATAAAGGTTTACGACTTTGTGAAACTTCTTTTTTGAGTTTATGCCGTTGAAATAAATAAATAAAAAAATTAAAACATTTGTCAGTTTTGTTTACACATTTATTGGGCTGCATTGAAACTTGCCTGGGACTGCGGGTTTGACACCCCTGGTCTAAGGTCTTTGCGTATGTGGGTGGCGGTTTTGAGAGGCAGCAAAAGACAAATGTTTTACAGAGGCAAACCATTTATTCTTGATCGAAAATGCTTACATAAATTTTTTCGTTGGAAAGGTCCTTAGATTCTGAACTTTAAGATGTGTTCAGATCCGATCTGGTCCTGTGTTGAAGGAATTTTGGTTGTGATCAGGTCCTGCGCTGTAGGAGTTTTCGGCAGCGATCTGGTCCAGCGTCATAGGGGTTTTTGCCGGCGCTCTGGTCCAGCATCATAGGGGTTTCTGGCGGCAATCTGGTCAAGCGTCATAGAGGACCCTGGACAGTGTTGAGTAAAATATTTGAAGTCTAGAGAAGTACGCGAAAGATGAATGGAGGTCCAAAATAAACGGAGATACATGAACACAATAGAAGTCTAGTGGAAGTCTTAGAGAAAGCCTCGTTGTCCTTGGAATTTGTGTTTTTATAATTTTTTCGAGATTGGCTTTTTGCTAATTGGACAGACTTTACATCACTGCTTTCTAATTGGTCTTCCACCTGTCGTCCAGGTGTAAATGGAGCTTTGTATAGTTAACAGGAAAGGTCGACTGGAGATGGTTTATCCGACACCATCTTTTAGACTGATTGCGTTTAATAGTTGACTATGACACCTATGCTCATTTTGATATTTTTTCTAGTTTCGTTTTACTTTCTAAACTGCATCTTAACTTTAATATTTTTAATTTTCTTCTTTTATATCTAAAATTTTGTTTTTCCTTCTAC